CAACTTTCTGGTTAACCCTGCTGTTGTGTCCTCTCTTTAGAAGGCTGCAGAGCAACTGACTCTGTTCACAGCTGAGGAGGAGATCTTTGCTTTCCAGAGGACCATTTCCAGACTGATGGAGATGCAAACGGAGTCATACTGGATGGAGGGGGACCGCAGTCACAGCAAGAAACACATGAACACCTAACATCCACTGCCTGATAAGCATATACCTCCAGACAACACAGTACCTCAGTATATCCGAGTAAGACCTGATATCCACAGTAAATATATAACTATACAAAACTAGATACCTGTTTTTTGTTTTTTTTCAGCATGTGTGTTATACTGTTTTACTGTCTGATCCTCCTCTGTGAGGTGTGCTCTCTCCCCCTTGTGGACTATTTTTTATTTAAAGAATATGGAAACCTCTCCAACATGAGAGAATCACAAGGCAGACAGGTGCTCACTTCACAGAGAGAAAGAGGGCCAAGTGTCCCCCAGAGTAATTGTCTGCCGCCCTCTAGTGGGTGAATGTGAGATGGGTCAAATATTCTCAGGCTGTTCCTGTTTTTATGAAACTGTATCAGTCTCTGGGCAGTTTTGAACAAAACCTCAACTGTATAAAACAAAACCTGGTGTAAATAAAAAAATATAATGCACAATATTAATTAAGTGTGTTTGATGAGTGAAACTCGAATTCAGGGAAATGTTGAAGCATGTTGCTCATTGGCTGTTAGATTGGTATTGATGTATTCCAGGTGTGGATCCTTAATCAAATGGAACTAATATAATTTTGACTTCGACTTCACTGAAGGGGTTTGACTACAGTTGCTGTTTCTAACACTGTAACACTTTGTTACTATCTGAGAGATTTGTCTTGCATAATTATAGGATAGACATATGCAACTGTAAGCTGTAAGCTGTAAGCTGTAAACTGCAGTAAAACACATCAGTATAATAAAATTGTCAGTTTTTGCACATGTAATTTTGCATCTTCTACTTTTTTGACAATGTGCAGGCATTTCTTTTCTATAAGATGAGACAAAATAAACCCTAGAGCCATGCAAAAATATTTTATATTGCACAATTTGATGAGGTTACATTGACATTGATAGTAGTTGTCTTATGACTGTCACTCCAAACTGAAGTTTGTAACATAAAATTAAAAAATAACATTTTGTCCTTCAAAATGATCTGTAAAGCTATAATATATTTTAGAGGATAATCACATTTCTCTTTTTTCATCTACATTGTAGTTGTAATTAAAAGGCAAACGTCATTTTTTTTACTCTCTGTGGTATTTTGGAACTTCTTCCTATGTGCCTGTAGGTGGCAGCAGCGGGCAACCAATCGTACAGGGTTTGTTATTGCGTCCATGTAAGGATGAGGTCATCCTAGTGCACCACTCCAGCCTGGACCAGCCCGCCCTGACAGCTACAGTCAGAACAGTGAGCAGCACGTACAGTATCCAAACCGAGAGCGTTATATAAATACTGTGTTTGCACCAAGTGTCCAAGCAGCCAGTATGATGAAACAACAAATGTATAATCTCATAAGATCCAAATGACTGTGTGTGTGTGTGTGTGTGTGTGTGTGTGTGTGTGTGTGTGTGTGTGTGTGTGTGTGCGCGCTCACGCGTGCATGCACAGATGCATGCTGGTGACGTGTATCATTAAAAAGAGCTTGAGTCAGTAGCAAGGCCCCAAGTCAATCCCACTATAACTCTCAATTAAAGAAAAATCAATCATGCCCTATGCTGAGGCCCTAATCCAATCAGAGCATTATGCTGTTTGGGGGAAACATCAGACACAAACAGAGATGGCCGCAGTGCTTTGTGATTGTCTTAATTGGATGATTCACGCTGGCTTAGATAGGTGGTCCTAGACTCCCCTTCCTCTCAGGACCACAGTTTTGATACACCATACTGACGGAGGGATGGCTTCATCTTTTGTATCTTTCTCAGCTGAAATAGGAAGATTTAGATTTATACAGTTATAAGACTTTAAGGTGAGGAGGTCTGGTAAACATGGATAAAATCAAGTTTTGAAAGAAAAGAGTTGACAATACCAAAATGTTAAATACTGAATGGAGCTCCAATATTGTCCTGATACGAACAGGCTGCATTATGTTACATGGCTCCAACCTGGAAGACGTAATGAAGTGCAGAGTGAAGTGTGTCCTATCTAAAGAAAAAGGGTGATAATACAAATGTGTTGGTGTTGTGTTTGTGTGTGTGCATGCATTAATGTGCCCCTGTGCAACACTAATATGGTCCTCAAATTGGCATCTAGGGTAAAGCTGGCTTATCCTGGTGCAGCATAAATTGGCTAGAGACACTGCAGCAGGGTACTGAAGGGACATGTCTGACACTTATTTTGTTCCATGTGACATAGATCAACATGTTTAATTAAGCTTGTTTGGAAAGTTTTGGGGAAAACAATTTCATGTGCAGGTACACATCTGTACCCAGATAAAAAAGCAAATGAAAGCCAGTGTTGTGGTCTATACAAAGACACATCAGAAACATCTTAACAGTCGAAAAGGTTAAGAAAATACTGGTGCTGTAATACCTTGCACAGCCAGTCACTTGCAATACCAAATGCTGGGGCTCTTGAAGAACATTAGGCCAGCCCATTCACAGGCAGTAGCAATGTGGAATTACATTTTTCATCAAGGTTTCATCCTTTGCTGGCTAGCTCATCGTGGAAAGCTGTAAGGAGACAAAACAGATGCTATGCTTTTTCAACGACCAATAGCAAATACAAGTCATACTTAAAATCATCTTTAAATGTACTGGTTCAGCTTTACATAAAGCATTTAAAAGATGAACAAATATCTCCGTCTGATAGTTGACTACCTACAGTATTTCTACACTCACACAAACGCACACTCAGACACCCTAACCTCTCTCTGTTAACTCTATAGTTCTCTGCAGGAGCCAAAGTGCTGCATCAGGAATTCTCTTTGATGTGAAGGGAACAAAAACCATCACATCACAATGTGTGTACGTGTAGACCGACTATCTCCTGTAATCCTGTACAGTACAGACTCCAGACTGCTGCTGCAAATGAATGTGTGTGCTGTACTAACCTGCCTGGTTAACATGTATGTCACATAGTTATGACAATAATGTCCAACCTTTTGTGAGAGCATCTCTGTCTGCTTGCTGATGGGGAATACTTTGATGAAGACAAAACACAGGCACGTGGGTAATATGCTGTTTATTTAGAGGAATGTTTTAATGTTGAATATACTGCAATGTAAGAAATGCACTTACCCAAAAATCACATATTATTGTGATGTAAAAATCATAATAAAATACACATATAAGTATCACAGACACACCATGACTCCATGCAGTAATACTGAAGTGATATCTTGTTATGATCAGCTGTGAATGCGCATTCCTGCACAGAAACCGCACATGCACACGCAGGTGGACGCGCACCTTGCACGTCAGGCAGCCCTCGGTGGAACAAAGAAGATGTGGACGAGGCTGTTTTGATCCTGGAGGAGGTGGAGGAGGAGGAAGAGGAGGAGGAGGGGGAGGAGGAAGGTCCAGAGCATCACTTACAGGATGGAGAACCATCTAGGATTTCTCCCCTTATCTCTCTGGCTAATAAACTGGATGACGTCATCCTGAACGAGGTGGAACGGGCTCCAGAAAGGGGGCGTGGCCTCAGCGCCGTGACAGACGTGATTGACAACCTGGTCCGCTGATTAAAGGCACAATCAGTCACTGCAGGGAGAGAGCGGTGTGCATGAAAATGAAAGGGTATGACATTTCAAATGCTTTTATTATGAAGCACCATCATGTCAGTAACATGTAACAATGTCATATGATACAACGCTTCTTTATGTACATAGTAACATACATACAGTACAAATTAAACTCATACTGTGAAACATACAGCAATAGTATATTACATTACATCTGGAAGACCGTATATGAATAGGATCAGGATGTTTTAGAATATGAAATATTTACTTAGTAAGTTTTTTATAATATTCCAAGATAAAATCTTGTTTCTTACATTAATGTTGTGATTCATCTCTTATAGAATTGTTGTAATATATATAATATTTGAATTGCTGAGGTGGCACCATTAATAAAATCTGCACAAAACACTCTTGCAAACAGCTATTTCTTCAGATGTTTTGGATGATGACTGTTGGTCTTTTTGAAAGAACAGTTTCTATTCCAACACTGTAATACAGTATTAATCTGTTGGAGGTTAAACAATTCGTCAATTAATCAAATGACAGAAAATCAGCATTATTTTAAGTCATTCTTAAGCAAAAATGTCCAGAGTTTACTGGTTGCTGCCACTCAAATATGAATATGTGTCTTGTCTATGATAATAAACTAAATATGTTTGAAATTTGGACTATTGGTCGAACAAAACAAGCCATTTATGACCATTTACATATTTCAACTCTGGCTCTGAAAAACTGTAATAAACTTTTTCCCATACTTTTATGAACCAAACAATCAGTGAATCTGGAACAACACACATAACATAACAGTTGCTAATAAAAACAATTATCATTTGCAGCCATAAACAACTGTTTTAAAAATCTAAATAAATGGATGTTAACAAAATAGAAACCTGTAGCACATCTGTAGTGCCAGTGACACCAAGATGTATCCTGCACACTAAAGTAAGACATGTAAACAACCCTTTTTTTAACAGCACAAGTTGTGGGCTGTGACAGTAAACAAAAACCTTTGCACATTACACATCTACACATTGCTCGACTTAAATGTCTGTTCTTTACAGTCCTTATCTTTCCCTGTCGTGTGCCTCTATTTCTGTGCCTTTCACTAACATGTCAGGACGTGTTTCAGCCTCCACCTGCGCACAGAGCGCTGCGTCCTGTTGGACTGCAGTGTCTCTTTAAAAGGCGATCCCATGCACAGGATCCAGGGGGCTGGCCCTTGATCGACTTGCATGCGCGTGTCTGTCTGTGTGTACGTAAATGTGTGTGTGTGTGTGTGTGTGTGTGTGTGTGTGTGTGTGTGTGTGTGTGTGTGTGTGTACGTGCAGCGCTGTGTGGAGAGAGCAAATCGAGATACAGTAGTAACCCAGAGTGAGGTGGCAGCCTTATTCCACATCGACACTGACTTGCCCTGCACGCATCCTATCTGTCTCTATATCGCAGAGCGCACTTGAGGGGTGAAAGAGGAGAGAGTCAATATGGCATCTGGAAGTGGTCGCGGACAATCCGGGATCTAGTCTCTTCTGGATTTTCTTTTTTTTTTTTGTACCACGGAGCGCAAGTGAGTGGCCGTGCAAGGTATTTCATTTAAAGTGTTAAAGAGCGGATTTATTTCCCAGAGAGATGAGGTTTGAGCACTTTCTCCTCAGCCATTGATCTCCGGTGGGTGGATTCAGACCCCTCGCACCAGGACGGGAATTTGTGTAGAGTTCCAATTCATGAGCAAGTAGTGCTTTATAATGAAGTGAAGCTCAGAGAGGCGAATCGCTACATTTAAATCCCGTTTTTGTTATTTTTCTTTTAAATAAGTAGTTTATTGTAGCTTCATTGGCACACATAGGTTGATTGTATATTTTTTTGCTTGGCTCTAGCTGAATGTGTTGGGTTCATTTTATGTGGCTTTATCTCCTCAACAGGCGTTAATAACTAAGTTGCTCCTGGCCCTGTTGGGACTTCGCTGGTGTGGAATAGCAACAAAGGACGGGAGCGCGCATTCATGGGACGCGACTTTGACAGCTCTTCATTTCTTGTCTTGTAACTTTATTACCTGGCAGCGGGGGCGAGATTGTGACTGGAGCAGGAGATCATGGCCGAGGCTCCGCTCCCCGACCCACTCCCGGACTTAGACGTGGCCATCGACCCGGACTTCGAGCCCCAGAAACGGCCCAGGTCTTGCACCTGGCCGCTGCCACGACCGGACTCAAACGCGGTAAAACCGGAGAGCCATGACACAGATATTATACCGGAGGAAGAGGATGATGATGAGGATAATGCCACCCCTACGAACATCAGTGTCAATGGCTCTGGTTTGGCGACAGAGGACCAGAGCAGCAACAGCCCCGTGGCCGATGGAGCGCTCTCCTCCCCCGGCCAGGAGAGCGGAGGCTCCCCGCTCTCCGCGCACTCTCCGGCGGCCACCTCTGGCGCGCTGACCCCCAGCAGCTTGGCCGCCCAGCAGACCCCGAGGAAAGCATCATCTCGCCGTAACGCGTGGGGGAATCTCTCCTACGCCGACCTAATAACCAAAGCCATTGAGAGCACGCCGGACAAGAGACTGACATTGTCCCAAATTTATGACTGGATGGTGAGATCCATCCCCTACTTCAAAGACAAAGGCGACAGCAACAGCTCTGCAGGATGGAAGGTAAGAGTCGGAGTCGTCCCACTCACCCACCCAGCCCCCCTCCTTCCTCCATCAAAACAAAAACAAAAAGCATGTGGCTTGTAAACCCACTGACGCACACACACACACACACAGACACACGCACACAATTATGCCAGCGCAGTCGAGTTTTTACGAGCGTCTATTTGGAAAGTCTGGCACTCATTATTCCTCTCATTATCATTCTAATGGAAATTACAGATCAGTCCGAAAACGTCGAAAAAAATCACATCGGGGAGGCATTTAAGATCATTAATCTTTCTAAGCAGCGCGTGGTTTGGTGACCTACACATAGTTATTTTTTAAATTGACCCAAACGTGATATTTTGCTCTCATTCACAGATATTTAATAGATGAAAAAAAAAAAAAAAAAGGTTGCGGTGTTTTGAATGAAACCGCACTAGAAGCATCCCCTTTGTCTTTTTCATTTGACGTTTCTGATGAGTGATGTCCATGATATTCCTCCGAGGCCACAGTCACAGTCACATGGCTGGAATTAGAGCAAACAGAAACGTTGTAACCGGTTTGTCTGGAAACACAGTAGCCTATTTTGAGTGATGCAACCCCGTTTAAGACTGCGAGTATGACACAATTACATAAGGCAGTTTACTGAACAGCAGCTAATCCATTAATAGGACAAGGAGCTGGATGTAAACAAAACGGTTCAACAATAATGCTGCATGGAAAAGTGTAAATCCTGAGAAGACCTCTCCACTGTGAAGAATGCATGAGGTCCTCTTGCAGTCATTGAGGATTTTTTTGTGTGGTTGTGAATAGTGAGATTATAGTGCCATTATGGTTTTATCACTTCATGTTTTAGCTTTTATATTTAGAGGCTACATTTCTGCACTGTAACCACAGTGGCCCTGTTTGCCATTTGTTATGTAAACCTTGGCAGGAATCTGTAAGTCTCTTGGGTCAGGTAGGCTACTGCCAAGGTGGCTGATCCTGCCATGGGGGAATTACATAACCACTGGGTTGCCGGGAGTTTGGGTGTGCTGTTAAGGGTAAATGTTTTTTAAAGGCAGCTATGCAGTCACCCAAAAGACAGAGCAGAGAATAACACCCATCAGAGGCTGGAGGACCAGGCCCGTGGGGGTGTGGAGCCTATAGGCCATATTTTGTCAGGGCTTCTCAAGTTTTGCTATGTGATATGCTTCAGTGAAGAGCAAAGAGGGAGGTTGAGGGTGTGTGTGTGTGTGTGTGTGTGTGTGTGTGTGTGTGTGTGTGTGTGTGTGTGTGTAGCCCCACCAAGTCAAGGCCGGGTTCACCGTCACCATGCAGGGCTGTTACTCCTGGAATTTCGGGCATGAGGGCCAGGCTGTTGGTGGTTTAGTGTTACACATGGTCTGTCAATAAATCTCGCCTGCAGCTCACAACCTGTGCCTTATTTTAGTTTTCATATAAGAGACTCTTTTCATTACAGACTCTAGTTGTTTTCTTCTGCAAACACAGTTGTGGAAACACACAGTATCACAAATGAGTACAGTTTAGATGGAGCATGTTTACATAGACTTCTTTAATATGACAGATCTCTGCAACTCCAAGCAGATAACTCAGCATGAAGGCCGAGCATGCCACAAGCTGCTGTTAGGTTTTTAGTAAAAAGCCCATGAAACCAGAGATGGTCTGCAGAGCCAGGTGTTCAGAGGACTACCTCTGCACAAGAACCTTTTTTCAGAGCCCCCCCGCTCTCCATTTCACTCTCAGAGACTCTTAGGTTTCACCTCCACACAGAGCAGGGTTTGAACACCTACAGTTTCATGCAGCCAGGGCACCTTTGTTGAGGAGATTTGCTGAGCAAATCCTAGTAATCCCCCTGGGTTTCTCTCCCAGGTTCCCACTTACGTCACTCTATTTCATATCTTTGTCAGTTAACCATTAGCCCTGGTAAAAGTAGATTAAGACAGCCAAGCATAACACTAGGAAATCTTTTATCACCTTAGATTGTCTTTAACCATAAGACACCACCGCACAGGCTTTAAATAGTAACACAATGCTTAGTCATTTACTTGTTCTTACTCAATGAAGAAGCAAAAGTACATACAGTGCCGACTGTGATTTAACCCTGATCTCAGTACTGTCAACTGGCATCGAATGTCTGCTCAGATTCATAATCATAAGGACTTATTCTTAAATCAGAAAATTCCATATTTAAATCAAAATTTCACAGTTTGGGGGAAACCCTGCACTTTTGTTAGACACATTTGAAATGATACCCAACCGTAGTCTTTTTAGTGATACATTTTGAAATAAATCATTCATGATCAACAAATCAAAATAATTCTTGCTTGCTGTTTAGACTTTGTCAGCTTAAATAGTGGAGCCTTTTTTTAGTAACACACATCATACCAACACAGCCGGTGAGGTTTCCAGCAGGAGTTCTGTCCTGGAGGGCCATGTCTGGTTCAGGGCTGCTGAAATTTGTGCTTAGAGAAGCTTTGGTATGGAGGGGGAGTGATGGGCTGCATCTCAAAATAGCACCTGTAAACACGCCTGTTACGCTCTGACTGTGTGTGTCTTTCACCTGTGTGTCTTTGCATAATCGAAAGATTAGGTGCACCTGTGTGTATTTGTGTGCAAGTACACAGGCGGGTGTATGTATCAGAGCGTGTGCGTGCATGTGTGTGCAAGTATTCCTGGCTGCAGTGAACCTTGTGCTCTAGTGTTACTTAACCCTGCTGTAACAGGCTCCCTGTTCCCAGCAGCTGCCCATCACAGGCCAAGACCTACTTATGTCACAGTGACACTCCACACAAACACATGCAGGTTGTAACGTCCACACAGATTCAAATTCATGGTACATACAGTTCTTTTCTACTTGTGCTTGTGTGTTTTTAAACCTGCTATACATTCCCGCACTGACAGACATGCTCAGACATACACAGTGCATTTGCCTGGTCATGTTCAGGCTTATCACCAGAGTTCACTGTGAGTGTCTGCTGCAGGTCTTAATTTAAACAGGGGTCTGAAATTAGTTCAACTCATTAGAATTAATTAATGAGATTATTTTAATGTTCAAGACCCCTAGGGTCACATGGAGTAGTGATCATTGTCAACATGAGGCTGTTTTTAACACGTAGATTTGTTTTAGTGTCCTTGTTTAATTTATGGCTATTTATTTCATGTTCAGCTCAAACCAGTGAGTCATGAACACAGGTGTTAAAGACACCTTTTCTCATTTGATCTCATACTTTACAAAGAGACCAAAAAGAACAGGTTCATCCATGGTGCCACCGTCACACACAGAGACAGATACACAGAGGCTACCGTGCTAAACCTCCACACATTCCCCCATCTGACTTTGTCTGGAGGCGTATGGAAAACAGGTGCTCATAAGCCCGCCGGGCATGTCGATTATCATTTTAATGGCCTAGCGCGCTGAAAGTGTTAATTCTTTAGGGCTGAAATTATTTATTGTTCCTATCAGAGCAGGACGGGGTTGACAAAAGGAAAGGGGCTGCCAAAAAAGAAAAGAAAACAACATTAAGCCTCTCATTGGCTGTCCATCAATGCAGAGTGGGGTGAGCTTTATGTGTGTGTTAAGATCCTGGAGTCAGCCATGAATATCCCTGCAAGACATGGCTACTAGTGGCTGGAATTTAAACTTGAAAGGATTATCTGAGGTCTATATGAGAAGACTGGCTAGTAAGGAAATTCTTATAATACTACTAGAAAGAGGGTTTGTCTGTGTGTGTGTGTGTGTGTGTGTGTGTGTGTGTGTGTGTGTGTGTGTGTGTGTGTGTGTGTGTGTGTGTGTGTGTGTGTGTGCACTCAGGTCGTCAGAATGAAATCTTGAGGCCTCTCAGATGGAGCTGGCACTGTGCCAAGGTGAAGGAACTGAAGCAAAAAAGGCAATAAAAAGGGGAGTTGAGGGGGTTGGTGGTGGGGAGTGGGCATGAAGACAGTAGAAGGAGGAAAGGGAGGAGGGCTGAGGGAGTAAATTAACAAGCTTTGCTCTAAATTGGTGTATTACAACTGCCCTCTGGCTGTGATTCCCAATGGAGGGGTTTGTGGGTGGGTGAGGCTAAAGGGGGCGATGGGTTATGGGAACCCACCAGCTCTACCCCTCCAAGTCTGAATAGTGTCACCCTGAGCAGTCAACCTCTGCGTGGAGGAGAACCCCCAGGCTCTGTTCTAGTTCCATTTCCAATCAATGGACACTTTTTTTTCTTTAGATGCCTGAGGAGTTTGAATGCATCAAGATTTTTCATCGGAAAATTACCCTATTTGGCCCAAAGTGTGCAGATACATGAGCAATACACCCACATGTGATTGCTGAACGTCTCATTCCAAAACAATTTACGTTCATCTGCAGCTATAACAACCTCCACTTTTATTTGAAGGCTTTCCACAAGATTTTCTCCCATTCAGCCACAAGAGATTTAGTGAGGCTGGTCACGGTATTGGGTGATAAGGTCTGGCTTGTAGTCACGGTTCCAGTTGTTCCTGAAGATGTTAGATGGGGTTGAGGTCAGGGCGGTGTGCAGGCCAGTCAAGGTTCTCAATGCCAAATGTAGAAAACAATTTCTGCATGAACCTCTCCTTTTGCACAGGGGCATTGCCATGTAGAAACAGGAAAGGATCTTCACCAAACTGTTACTAAAATATTGGAAACACACTATCTGATTGTATGCTGTAACATTAAAACTATCCTTAAAGGAATAGGCTTTTGGGAAATCCACCTACTGGCTTTCTTGCCAAGAGTTAGCAAAAAGATCAATACTACTTTCCTATCTGTATGGTAAATATGAAGCTACCGCCAGCAGCCATTAAGCTTAGCTTAGCACAAAGACTGGAACCAGGGAACAGCTAACCTTAGGTAAAAAACTCACGGATGATTTGTCAAATTTTCATTATTTCATTATGAGTCCAGGCTTTGAAACTTGCAGCTATACAATAATCTAGTTGACTTCTCTGTTTTGAAGCCTCCTGAGTGTTGGTGGATGTATTTGTATCTGCCAGAAAGAAAATCAGATTTT